TCCTGTGTAATTGATTTAACACAATTCTAATGATACGATATAAGTATTTTGAGGTTAAGAACCTACCTGCTGCAATACAACAAAGTTGCAATAATGTGTTTGCAACGTTCTCTTAAATCGGTTTTGCACGTGCAAGTCATTAATATGATATTGCTTAAATCACACAGAATCACCTTACCAATTATATAACGTGAATCACTTTTTAAATCCGAAGTTTGTAAAAAGTTGGCTGTAAACTTGACGGAATTTGAAGACTAGCTTCCGGATTTGTTATTTCCGAACTTTATAATGTGATTGGCATTAAAAACACGCTTACCTCCAACGAAATATCCTTTCCGAGGCTTTGTGTCAGCCCAATCACATATTGTGTCAATACTTATCATTTTATCGTAATTTAAAAACTTGGAAATTGCACGGCATACTATAGGAACTACGATAAATTTTCCCTAATCGGCGCCATGTTTTTAGGCTTCTCCCATTTGACGGATCCCAATAGTTTGGATACTCTTTTTGTTGTGTAATGAGAGTATTTCTTAAGAATCCACTTTCTTTTGGTCTACTTCAATGAAAATAAACTGCCACCGATACATCAACAACGAGCTCTTTTCATGGCGTTATATGATGTTTCCGATTTCGCAATAATTTTAATATAAATCTATTTCGCTGTCTTAACTTTAATCCTCTTACAACTCCAGCGAGAGGAAAGAGAGTAAGGGATAGTTTCTCAGCTCCTAGTTTGCAGCCACCCTCCTTTTAAAATGATGCTCTGCTAAAGTTTGACCGGACAGAAATAATTTCGGTTCCGCAGTTAAAGTATTAAATTTAAAGTAGTGCTACCAACTTTAAAGCTGTTCATTCGGTTTAGGGTAAGTGCTTAAATGCTGGCGCTTTTCGTAGTACTACGTTTCTTCTTTTTTGACGGAAGCTTTCTGTCAGTCACTTTCAAAGTTACATTTCCAACTCTGAATTGACATATATTTTATCCTCATCATACATAAAAATTAAACTACTTTGATCTTCTACACATCTTCGTTAACATCATCATCAATACATAACATTTACATTTATCTAAAAATGAAGATTATATCAAAATTTACGTTGGTCCGACAAGAAGATCTTTTAAGTTTCGGATAAAAGAACACGTGTCACACTTACATACGAAACAACAAGAGAAAGTTACCTAATTTTGGATAGGTAATTTCTTTATCACTATTTCTTTTGTGATTAGAGCAATTTTTATTAATTGTTTAGTGCCTCATACATATATCCATTTATTTTAATAAAAACATGATATCTACCAGAAAATATTTGTTTTAACATTGAAAATTACAAAAAAATAGAGAAATCTATACGAGCTTGACGACTATATTAGTCGTATCCTAATTTCCAACATAAAATCAAGACTTGCTTACATCTAAATGCCACATGGCGACATCTAGTAGTAAAAGTTTGAACTATGCGCGTGAATCGTTTCTATTATCTAATCTTTATCGAATTTATTTGTAAACGGTACTAACAGAAGTTAATCCAGATTATTTTCACTGTTATTATTTTTATTTCAGTAGACACATATAACGGTAGCCATCTCCGATTCCATCGTCTGGATAGGCGTCAAATGGGGGCCTATCTCTGTATTGCCAGCAACGATGTACCGCCTGCAGTCAGCAAAAGGATTGTACTCAATGTCAATTGTAAGTAGAATTTTATATTCAAAACAATGCCAAATTGGAGTTATTAATTATTCCGAAATTGTACGTTTCAAAAAATGCAATGAGCAATATATTGAGGAAATCACAGGTGAGATTACACCCAAGAGTGTTATCCTCGTAACGCTCGTTAATCCTCTGCGCAGTAAGGCAATGCGCATCCATGCTTGAAGATCGTTTCCGGTTTGTTTTTGACAACTGACAATGCGAAAATCGCTCGTGATACAGCTACTCTGGCTTGATGCTTTTCAGGCCAATTAGGAAAAAAACTTTTGGGTGTTTCATTCCTACCAGCCAAAAATGCTGGTGGGCGGGCAGTCCCTCCGGACTACGCCGGAAGGTAGGGCGGAAGGCCCTCTTCAGCCTGCTTTCAGGAATCGTGGGAATGGGTGGGTGGTGGTTCGGNAGTTAGGAGGGGTAGAGGTAGACCTAGGTTAGATTACTGTTCGCAAATAGTCAAGGATGTGGGATGTTCTAGTTTTAGGGAAATGCGAAGTTTAGCTCAGGATAGGAAGGAGTGGATGTACGTGTCCAACCAGTCTTGGGACTGACGACCTTACGATGATGATATAATAAATAAATGAACATATGTTGTCACGGCCGGAATCCATGGTAGAATTATGTTTACAGCCGCAGGGGCGTGATTTTAATGAATTGTTAGGTCCTGACGTTTTATCGGCAACTGACATATTCAGTAGTTCTGTGTTGACAACCTGAGCGAAGATTATACTTCCTTTCTGATTTTTGGGAATCAATATCCACTGTTATAGAACATGATAACATGTTTGATGTTACCCATTGCCCATAGAGGCAGCTTTAAATAAAATTGAAGCGGTATTGGCAAAATAGTATTGTACAAAAATAAATAAAAGTAAAATATAAATACTCGTATACAAGGAAAAAGAAAAAGATATTCAGTACTGACGTTCTGATGAAGGTTTCTCTACTATGATTCTATTGCATGCTATATCTAATTCTAAAACCGCAATTTCTCATTGTAAGCCATTTGTTAAATCACACAGATCCTAATCGTTTCTCTCGATATCCAATTGTATAAACCTATATATAACATAGGGTAAAAGCGAATACAAAGATAAGAGGCGAAAAATTAGAAGAAGTGGCTGATTTTAGGTATCCAGGAAGTCATATGTCAGGACCGAAGGATATAAAGCAATAGATAGAACAGGGTTGAGTCGCTTTCAATAAAAAGCAGTCACTTCTATGCTCGCGAACAGTTAATTTAGAAATTCGAAAAAATTGTTAAAGGTGTATGTTCGGAGCGCGGAGCTGTACGGATGCGAAACTTGGACGATGGAAGAGGCGGAAAAGAAAAGATTAGAAGCGTTCGAAATGTGGTGTTACAGGCGAATGATGAGGATACCGAAGATAAAAAAGGTTAGAAATGAAGAAGTATTAGAAAGAATAGGATAACAGAGGATTTTTTTGGAAGTCAATAAGAAATAGGCGAGATAGGTTGGTAGGACACCTTCTTAGGCATGAAGGTCTAGTCAGAGGCATATTAGAAGCAGAAACAGGAGTTGAGAGGAGTAGAGGTAGGCCTAGATTAGATTACTGTTCGAAAATAATTAAGGATGTGGGTTGCTCTAGTTTTAGGGAAATGCGAAGATTAACTCTGGATAGGAAGGAGTGGAGGTGCGTGTCCAACCTATCTTAAGACTGACGACCTTAGGATGATGATGTTACCTATTTTATTTATGTTTATTTCGATACGGAAGAGCAGGGGAACATGCAAAAGCCCCCTTATGTATATCCCTCACTAATCCTAATCATTTAGTTTCAATATAAGACGAACCTAGGTATCGATCGACAGCGATAGATGGCTGAACGCTTTGGTTTATTCCATCGCATATTTTATCATGAAGTTTGATGCAAATTCTACATGCAAATTGCAGTTCTCACATACGCGAAATCGAAATCGTTCGTTGTACTGGTTGAGTACATTCGGGAGAATTTAGGGCGCGAGAAGCCAGTGAGTCGACTAATGTAAACCTTTGATTAAAATACGCAAAGTTCTTCAACAGAAACGTAATTCTGTATACAGAGTGATCTATTTAGAGGCTGCAAAATGACTGTAGTGTTATTGATAGTTGTTGTTAAGGATCGTATGTGTTTCAATGTTTAGGAACAGCGAATAGAAAGTCAAATTCTGTCTGTCAAAAATTATCGTTGGAGTTCCATATTCTGGATGACATTATCGAAATCTCTGGGGTAAAGCCCTCCGGATGTAAGCCAGTCCCCCATTCGGATGTCCAAGCGGGGACTACTTCGCGGGATGTCATCTATAAGTGCAATAGGGGTAGGTGCAATATTTCACGAGCCTGAGCGTGGAATGTTAGGACAATGGGGCAAGTAAGGAAGTTGGAAAATTTAAGAATAGGAGAACAGAGAACTCTACGGAAGTCAATAAGAAATAGGCGAGATAGGCTGGTATGACCCCTTCTCAGGCATGAAGGTCTAATCCGAGACACATTAGAGGCAGAAGCGGGAGTTAGGAGGGGTAGAGGTAGGCCTACTGTTCACAAATAGTTAAGGATGTGGGCTGTTCTAGTTTTAGGGAAATGCGAAGATTAGCTGAGGATGGGAAAGAGTGGAGGTGCGTGTCCAACCAGTCTTAGGACTGACGACCTTATGATGATGTTGACGAAGTTGAATGTGACCTTCGCCACTCATTAGGAGATTATGCAGCACACTTATCGTTGTCATTGATATATTGTAATTCGATCAAGTACTCCCCTCTACTTTTTCTGCAGTGGCGTTCCCAAATCGACCCGTTTCATTGGCTCACTCAGTACTTACGTTGTGAAATGTTAAGACTAGCGCGCTAATCAATAACAGGGTTACACTTCCTCAGACTGGAAGTGTACTAAGGAAGCCCACAGTTCAGATTTTCAGAGAATCAAACGCTCTCTAAAATTAATTTCAAATTGACAGCAATTTTAAAGCGATTGATCAGCGTCAGAATAACCGCATGGCGTAATTAGTCCTTTTTGGAATATCATGAAGCCGTGGGGTCCAGGGGAAGGGCTGACCGCATGGTTAGAAGGCAGCTGATGAAATTCTTATAAAGCTAATTGCATTTTAAGAGCCAAAAATATCCATTGGGTGTAATGTAATCAGGAAGGCGATTTTCGACTCTGCACCTCTGCTCTGGCCCCGGCCAAAGCCGACGGTTCTTTGCCTCGGTCTGATAGCATCTCTAATGGTGTTAATTTGGGATCGTGGCAATGCGGCGGGCTGTAAACGAGCTCAATCCCTTCCCCCTTTTGCCATCTTTTACTCGTTTATCTCGCTTTGCTTGCAAGAACGATAACATCGTCAACGGAATCGGACAAGAGAAGAAATTTGCTGGAGTTAAAATAATTAAATTTTAAACTTTACTATGTTCTCTCTCTCTCGTTTGTTTTTCTCATTACCGTTTGTATTTTGTTTCCCTCTTTTCGTTCGAAATCTAGCAAAAACGCCGAGTGGGCGCTTAATTTTTCGACCCTGCCTCATTTTTTACACGATATTAATTTCAACTAAATTAATTACATCTCTGGACGGTTAATTAAGAAAAATAGCTAGGACGTGGCAGAAGTAAAATTGCTTAGAAAATAATAGGCCCTTTTGGAAGAGCGAGATATCTCGAGTTTGTACAGTCGCTGAAATTAAAATTTTTACAGACGTCTACCCCACATAAACACTAACTTTATGCTACCAGGGAAGATAGAAGGAATATTGAAAAAGTTAGGTTATCGTACATAAAATATGCTAGATATGTAACTTATACTAATAAAATAATTCGAAGTGGTCTGTATTCTGTCGAAACTGTCAGACGCCGATCGTGAATTTGATCTCATCAGGGCGTCGCAGACAGCTTCGACAGAACACGGACCAACTTTTACCTGCTGTCTTAACAGCGTGTTTTATGAAATACCACAAATGGCGCGGTAACCGCCATCTGTAGTACAATGCTATATTTTAGGATTACGTATGCTCCAACAAGGTCCATTTAAATATACGGATCTTTACTTGCTGAAACGAATCCCGGCGTAGCTAACCTCAACGTGATAGGCACGTTAGCATAATCGAATAAAATAATTCGAAGTGGTCTGTATTCTGTCGAAACTGCCAGACGCGGATCGCGATTTCGATCTTTTTGGATCTCATCAGCGCATCGCAGACAGCTCCGACAGAACACAGACCAACTTTTACCTGCTGTCTTAACAG